GGACCCGCGGTGCCGGTGGGCCGGGCTCCCCCCGCTCCGCCCGCCGTCCCTGCCGCCGCCGGGCCAGTCACGCTGCCCTGTGCCTCAGTTTCTCTGAGCGTAGAGTGGGACTCGCCCGTCCCACAGAGACAGCACCAACTAAACTGGAAGGGCGTTTCTGAGGACGTGACGAGTCAGGCACGGAGCACGTTTACAACGGGCCCGTCGTTCCCCGTGGAGCCGTGAGCAGCTGCAGGTTTGCCCGCCCACCAGCTCTCCTGGCCCGGGGTCACAGTGCAGCCAGCAGAGACATTTCAGCAAGAGCAAGGTGCTGGTGAGCCAGTCCTCTGCAGGAGCCCTTCGTTTAAAGCATCACTTAGAACCAGCACCGCCTCCTTCACCCACAGGCCTGTCTTTTGCCTCTGCTGAGGTGGAGGCAAAGGAGGTAGATCTGACCTACGTGCCCTGGTCAGTATCCTCACTGTTTGCCTCAACACTCCCTTCTGTATCAGTAGTCAGGGCTTAACTTCTTATCTCTTCTTGCCTCCATCCTGATTTCTGCTGTCTCAATTTAAACTGTCTCCTGAATGTCTTGCCTAGCTGACTTGAACTGCATTTCTGCACAGAACCAAAGCTTTCAGAGCTGATTTCACAGTTCTTAGGGGGCAGAAATGTCATATGACAGAGGGATGACTGCCAAGTGTCAGCCAATTTCACATCATGCATTGGCAGAACACAGAGATGCTTGGAGAGAGGAGAGACAATATTCATTCTACCAGAAAAACTGGTAAAGTTCTCAGAGTACCCAGAGTGCTGGTCTAACCAGCTTTTCGTTCTGCTGCCTTTTACTTGTTTTATTTCACCATTTTCTCCTATAATCTAATTTTGTAAATGGGTAGCTTGTGGTTGACAACCTACTGAAGGAATCTTTTGAAGTCCCAAGGTTTCTAAACCTTGGCATCGGTGACAGAGAAGATGCAGACTCCACAAAAGAAAGATTCTGAGTATCCAGCCCAAAAACACTAGCCCTTGAATCAATGCCTGATGGACTTGGACTTCATAGTATATCCCAACAGACTGGAATGAAGAAAGCTGTAGTCAGGAGCTTTGAACAGATACTTGACATTTTTCATCAGTAACTAAATGTTCTTACTTGAAACCCCTGTCAGATGTACCTGAGGCAGATGGAAAGAAGACCCTTCAGCTCTCCATCTCACCTGCAGACACTGACAAGAAGTGTTGCCCTCAACCCCCATAGCTCCTAACAGAAATTTGAATTGTGACTGAGCTCTGTGTGTTTTCTTCTCACTGGGGCTGTGACCTGTCATGGCTGTGGAGCAAACACAACAGCAGGCCCACTGTGCCAGAGGGGACAAAAGCTCCTGCTGACCCCCTCCAGCCAGCACTGAGGGCCAGTCCTGCACAGAGAGCCAGTCTGGCTTCACTGGAAAGCAACTGAGCTCAACTCCATATCAAAACTCTTCTTGGCTTAAATAGGTCAGGTGTCTTCACTAGTTTTCTTGAACACTGACCGGATTTTGAACAGGGCTGGTGAGGGGTCGTTCACCCTGTGTTGAGGGGGCAGGTGCAGAGGGAACCTGCACCCATGGAAAAACAGCAAGGCTTCCTCTCCATGCAGCAACCCCTCTCAGGACACTCTTGAGGCAGCCCTTGCCAGCTGACCCATAGTCAGGACACTGAGCAAAGACCAAGTTACTCCTGGGAAAAGCCTAAGAAGTATTTACAGCTTCAGCCCCCAAAGCCTTCATGCTTCCAGGAGTAGTGTGACCACTGACAAACCCTGTCCTACAGGCCCACCCCTCATAAAAGGTGCCACAGTTAGCATAACAACAGCCCCTGTCTGCAACTGTCTCATTGCAAAGGAGTAAATCTGTTAACATTTCCACTGGCAGTCTTCTATCAGTATTATTCTTCCTTAGAACTTCAGATGTTGCAAAGAAGTCAAAGTATAGACACTAAAAATACTACCTTGCTAATACAGTTTAGGCAAAATAAGAACTAGATCACTCAGAAAGGGCAAGGCTAATAGCCTTAGCAAAGTTAGAGTAAAGAAGTGGTTAAGGATCTAGATGATTTAATCCAGTTTTAAGAAAAGGTTTTACAGTGAGCAATTAGATGCTGTTTAAGGAATTAATCACTAATGGGTCATTAACTCTGACTGCTATTGTACAGTTAACAAGCCGAGGCAGGATTATTAGACTCAGCACCCAATTAAGAAGGAGAGATATTTACAACAAAATGAACAAATGAGCTTTTAAAATGAAATGGGACAATTTGAAAAAAAGTGTAGGAACACAGAAAACTAGACAAGGTATGAGAAAGATAGGTTTTCTTCTGTCCCTTTATTTGTTTGAAAAATATCTACCTGTCTCTGCCCATTTTTGCTTAGCTGGTAAAACCAGTTACTTTTAGCAACAAACTCATAGCTCTCCTTGAAGGACATGACTGTACACAGTTTGTCTATTACAGGTTTCCCATGTACAATGTATAACAAATATGTCAATAAAAGAACAATCACCATAGCTTGCTGTAACCTTCCATATTTTGCTCAAACGTGTTGGACCAGGAGCTTAATAAGAGTGAACAGGTGTCATCAGCTGCTATTTCTGCTGTCCTGTCACTGCATCTTTATCTGCTGCCAGTCTGCAACCATCTCAGGTAACCCAGGCTCAGTGCTGGTTACCTAGTGATCAGAAACCCTGGGGGGTCTTTCCAGGGGCTTCATAGGATACAGAACGGGGGGCAGGATGGAGGGAGAGTGGTGGTGTCTAAATGTGGGGGAGCATCACTGAAATCCCAGGGAGTTGCTTATTAATCAGGAGCAATAAGCACAAGAGCTTTTGGGCAGCAGCTAACCCTGCTCACATGCAGGGGAGTTTTCAGCACCGGAGCTGCTGCTGGACTGCAGCCAAGTACTGACAAACTTGTTCCCAGCCCCGGGGGGAAGAGTGTGCAGCGCCTGTGCAGTCATTTGTCGGTGTGTGCCCGCTCCTGACACAGCCCAGGGGTGCAAGAACCTCCCGAGCACACAGCACCCTGCCCTGGCGGGGGGGGAAATGGGCCTCCTGCAAGGCCAGCACCCTGGGCCATGAGAGCAAAGCTCACCTGTGAAAGCAGTGCTGGAGTAAGACCTAAAAACTGAAGCAGTATGTTTTTGTTCTCCTCCTCTGGCCCCAGAAGTTTACTCAGGTTTCCTCACTAGAAGTTAGCAAAATACTGCCCCTGTCCCAACAGTGACAGACTCTGCTCTCCTGGCAGCACGGGGCTGTCCCTCCAAAGGGGCTGGGCACTGCTGGGTGCACGGGCTGCCAGGCCCGGGAGGGTCCGGTCCCCCCGAGTTCAGCAGCAGGGCTGGTGAGGGGTCGTTCACCCTGTGTTGAGGGGGCAGGTGCAGAGGGAACCTGCACCCATGGAAAAACAGCAAGGCTTCCTCTCCATGCAGCAACCCCTCTCAGGACACTCTTGAGGCAGCCCTTGCCAGCTGACCCATAGTCAGGACACTGAGCAAAGACCAAGTTACTCCTGGGAAAAGCCTAAGAAGTATTTACAGCTTCAGCCCCCAAAGCCTTCATGCTTCCAGGAGTAGTGTGACCACTGACAAACCCTGTCCTACAGGCCCACCCCTCATAAAAGGTGCCACAGTTAGCATAACAACAGCCCCTGTCTGCAACTGTCTCATTGCAAAGGAGTAAATCTGTTAACATTTCCACTGGCAGTCTTCTATCAGTATTATTCTTCCTTAGAACTTCAGATGTTGCAAAGAAGTCAAAGTATAGACACTAAAAATACTACCTTGCTAATACAGTTTAGGCAAAATAAGAACTAGATCACTCAGAAAGGGCAAGGCTAATAGCCTTAGCAAAGTTAAAGAAGTGGTTAAGGATCTAGATGATTTAATCCAGTTTTAAGAAAAGGTTTTACAGTGAGCAATTAGATGCTGTTTAAGGAATTAATCACTAATGGGTCATTAACTCTGACTGCTATTGTACAGTTAACAAGCCGAGGCAGGATTATTAGACTCAGCACCCAATTAAGAAGGAGAGATATTTACAACAAAATGAACAAATGAGCTTTTAAAATGAAATGGGACAATTTGAAAAAAAGTGTAGGAACACAGAAAACTAGACAAGGTATGAGAAAGATAGGTTTTCTTCTGTCCCTTTATTTGTTTGAAAAATATCTACCTGTCTCTGCCCATTTTTGCTTAGCTGGTAAAACCAGTTACTTTTAGCAACAAACTCATAGCTCTCCTTGAAGGACATGACTGTACACAGTTTGTCTATTACAGGTTTCCCATGTACAATGTATAACAAATATGTCAATAAAAGAACAATCACCATAGCTTGCTGTAACCTTCCATATTTTGCTCAAACGTGTTGGACCAGGAGCTTAATAAGAGTGAACAGGTGTCATCAGCTGCTATTTCTGCTGTCCTGTCACTGCATCTTTATCTGCTGCCAGTCTGCAACCATCTCAGGTAACCCAGGCTCAGTGCTGGTTACCTAGTGATCAGAAACCCTGGGGGGTCTTTCCAGGGGCTTCATAGGATACAGAACGGGGGGCAGGATGGAGGGAGAGTGGTGGTGTCTAAATGTGGGGGAGCATCACTGAAATCCCAGGGAGTTGCTTATTAATCAGGAGCAATAAGCACAAGAGCTTTTGGGCAGCAGCTAACCCTGCTCACATGCAGGGGAGTTTTCAGCACCGGAGCTGCTGCTGGACTGCAGCCAAGTACTGACAAACTTGTTCCCAGCCCCGGGGGGAAGAGTGTGCAGCGCCTGTGCAGTCATTTGTCGGTGTGTGCCCGCTCCTGACACAGCCCAGGGGTGCAAGCACCTCCCGAGCACACAGCACCCTGCCCTGGCGGGGGGGGAAATGGGCCTCCTGCAAGGCCAGCACCCTGGGCCATGAGAGCAAAGCTCACCTGTGAAAGCAGTGCTGGAGTAAGACCTAAAAACTGAAGCAGTATGTTTTTGTTCTCCTCCTCTGGCCCCAGAAGTTTACTCAGGTTTCCTCACTAGAAGTTAGCAAAATACTGCCCCTGTCCCAACAGTGACAGACTCTGCTCTCCTGGCAGCACGGGGCTGTCCCTCCAAAGGGGCTGGGCACTGCTGGGTGCACGGGCTGCCAGGCCCGGGAGCCTGGAGCAGCACAGTTCAGGGAAGGGAAGCCTGGGGGTCTGGGCACAGCATGTGCTCTGAGCCAGAGCGCCAGGTTGGATCTGCAGGGAGGCCGAGAAGCGAGGAAAAGGCGTTTGAAAATAGAGGGATTCCTATTATTATCTGTAAAAGAAGCTCTCCAGACAATAGATGGGGGCTGCTGTGAAGGGATGTTTAGAAACTGCTGTCTAAGGTTAAAAAGCTCTCTGAAGTGAAGCTGAACAAAGCTGACATACTTGTTTCTGACAGGACTCTTAAAAGATACGCACAGATTGTGAAAATATAATTAGACGCCAGCCTTTGTCTGGCCACAACGAGTGGGAAATGGTGAAAGGAGAGGTCTCCCAGTCTGCATTGAATCATCCCCAGGACACAATGAGGGCGCTTGTGCATCCTTCTCTCTTCCCTAATGAGAAACGTTAATTGCCACAACCTCCAGAGTGTGTAAGCACCCTGTGCCCAGCGGAGGAGAAGGGGTGTTTCATTACAGCTTCTCAGCCCCATTACAGGCAGTAACAGAGATAATGGAAAATAAAGATGCCGCAGCTTTAGTTTCGGCAGCTTGGTGATGGGCAGTGGGTGGGTGGGAGAGCGAGCACAGCCCAGCACGGTGCCAGCCTCCAGGGGCTGCACGGGGCAGGACACAGTGGGCAGGATGCAGGCAGAGGACAGGACGAAGGCAGCAGGCTCCAGTGACAGCTCCAGCCGCCTGACCAGGCGCCCCGTGCCCAGAGAGCTACGGCCCATCTCCCTCCGCAGGCAGCTGGGACACAGGGCAGAGGCATCTGCCAGGCCCCTTCTCTGAGGAGGCAGCAAGGGCCAGGGGACCAGCACTGACCCCAGCCTGCTGGGACAAGGCTGAGCAAAGCCCAGGGAACCCAGGGCTGCCACACAAGGGGCTGCTGCGCCCAGCCCACCCCCTGCAGGGGCCCTGGACGCCCCCGGTGGAGCAGGGAGCCCCAAACTGGGTGCGCTCCCCACCGTGGGGCTGCAGCCCCCAGCCCTCCGTGCTCACAGCCAGCTGGGGCAGGGTCCTGCTGCCGGAGGGGCAGGGAGGAGGGCCTGCAGCCAGGCCTCTCCTGACCCTGTGTGTCACTGGCAGACGAAAGTCCAGCCCAAGCAGCCCATTCAGGTGCAGAAACACGATGCACAGCCTTCAGGCAGGTCGTGCCATTTAATGGTGCAAAAGCAGAAAACCTTCCCCAGAAAACGCAGGCCTCAATTCCCACAGCTCTTCGCCCTACTGCAGCTTTTATTGCAACTAAAGTGTCCAGCCAAGGAGGGAGAAGCAAAAGAGATTTTTTTCCTATGCTATGATCAGGCCCCTAACACTGCAGGGCATGTGGAAAAAGGAATTAAAAGGATCACAAAATACAAAGCAAGTCAAGGCGTGGGGGAAAGGCTGGTGCAAAGGACAGCCCTCCCTTGCCTGGCTGTTCAGGGGAGCTGGAGCAGGGCAAGGGTGTCCCTTGGTCATTCCACGAGCAGCCGTCCCTGTGGGGTCCTCCCAGGTGCCGAAGAGGGAGCTCAGATTGTCTGCCAGGGTTTGCCGATGGACTGGATGTGCTCCTTGGCTTTCATCCGCAAGGCAGCGATGCTGGTGTTGCGCGGGTCTGCCTCATCCAAGGGGAACTTGTCCACAAAGGTGGCCCCACACTGGTAAGGCGGTGGTGGCCCCATGGCCCCCAGGGGCTGCAGTGTGTGGGTCACTGCCGGAGAGTTCAGGAAGGGCGGGGGGGTGTAGCTGCCGGGCAGGCTCTGCGGAGAGGAGACGAAGCCGGGCAGGCTCTGCAGGGCCGTGCTGCTGGGCACCGGCGGGCTCAGCCACGTCTCCAGGGGCAGGTTGCTGCTGAGAGGACCCATAGGTGTTGCCTGTGGTGAGCGGTTGAAGGAGAGGATGGGCGAGTCCTGCAGCTTCATGGAGGTCAC